CAGAGACGGAGCAGGCCGACCACCAGCTGGCCCAGCTCAAGGGAGGTAAGGCACCCACCGGAAAAGGGTAAAAAAATGGCAGACAAAAAAAATGGCGGACAGCCTTGCTTGGCGACCCCCGTGAAATGGTCGATCGACCCCAAATGGGGTCCCGACCCACAGGTTGAGAACCACTGCCCTATACCATTTCAGACAAATGGCCGTCCAGTGTCTTCTTAAAAACTTCCAATGTTGGAGCATTCACTGCTTCTGGAGGCAGGTTGTTCCACTGGTTAATTGTTCTAACTGTCAGGAAGTTTCTCCTTAGTTCTAGGTTGCTTCTCTCTTTGGTTAGTTTCCATCCGTTGCTTCTTGTCCTGCCTTCAGGCGCCTTGGAGAATAGCTTGACTCCCTCTTCTTTGTGGCAGCCCCTGAGATACTGGAAGACTGCTATCATGTCCCCCCTGGTCCTTCTCTTCGTTAAACTAGACAGATAAATTCAGATGAAGTAGTCCTGGCGAACCATCCGTCTTGAAGGCCTTCCGGATGGGGCTCAGGGGACCTGGTGCCCCTCTCCCTGCAAGGATCCCCCATCTTTTCTCCAGGTTGCAGTGAAGCCGCTGAGGTGCCCAGCCGTCTGGCTCCTGGAGAGCGCCAAGCAGGAGATGGAACGTCTCTTCCAGAGACCCCCAACCCCCAAATGGTGAGAGCCAGGCTCTTGAGGGCCCGGGCTAAGAAGGGGGTGGGGGGGAGAAGGGTCAGCAGCGATCTGGGCCCAACCTCTGGCTCTCTTCCTTCTGCTCGCAGATGTCGGCAGTCTATGCCGAACTGGAAAGCCGCCTGACTGGTGGCTTCGGAGGAAAGCTGGGCCGCCTGCCCGTGTGCCGGACATCCTCCCTGGCTTCAGAGCCTGCAGGTAACTCCTCCGGTCTTCTGGGGTACAGGAGACAACTTTTGGGGATTTATGTGGGATGGACTTGGATTTGGAATCTGTTCGGGGAAAACCGGAGCTTTTCTCCCTGGTTGGTTGAGATCCCAGATCAGAACGGAGGGAACCTGCAAGCGAGTTGACTTTCTGATGCTGTAAGGTCCAAATAAATACTGATTTGTAGAATCTCTCTCTTTAAAATTTAGTTAAATGCAAACAGGTTCATCATAAATGTGGTGAGGTTCGCCCAGTAGACAGTATGAACCATCCTTTTTCCCCCCAAAAGGTAACAGTGAAAGTCAGTACGAAATCCCCTTCCCCAGCTGAACATCAAATAGTATTTGAAAAAAAAAAATTATTGGTCATTTGGAAATCATTTCAAAAGGTTTTTCTCTTCCTCCCATCTCCCCAAAAATGCATCGGGCACCTCACACTATCTGCTGGACTAGATTCTCCAAATTGCCTAATATCAGTTCAGGGGCAGCTAATATTCTGATATTTCTTCTTTTCCTCTGTTAAGTGAAGGGTGAATATGCCTCATTCTCAGCCCTTGGTCTTTTGTTTCAAGGAAATGAAATTCACTTTTGTTTTTAGAAATAAGAATAGAATAGAATAAAATAGAATAGAATAGAATAGAATAGAATAGAATAGAATAGAAGGGACCTTGGAGGTCTTCTAGTCCAGCCCGCTGCTCAAGCAGGAGGACCTATCCCATTTCAGACAAGTGACTGTCTAGCCTCTTCTTAAAAACCTCCAGTGATGGGGCACCCACGATTTCTGGAGGCAAGTCGTTCCGCTGATTAATTGTTCTAACTGTCGGGCATTGTAGAATAGAATGGAACAGGGACAGAACAGAATAGAATAGAAAACAGAGTTGGAAGGGACCTTGTAGGTCATCTAGTCCAACCCCCCCGCCCTCTAGTCCAACCTCCCGCCCGTTGTGCTGCAAAGGGTTGTGTGCCTATTTCTCTATTTTCTGCAGGTCCCCGAAAATCAGGACTGACTATTTCCTGGCAGAATGATCCCACCCTGCAGCCTTGCTATTACCACTCGCCTGGTGGCCTCCCTTCCCCCTGCAGCACAGACTCGAACCCTTACGTCAGCCTGGACAGCAGCCCGGCCTTGTCGCCCAAGCTGAGCCCCCTGTCTCGCCGGAGGAAGCTCTTCACCTTCTCGCGGCCGCCACGCAGCCGGGACACGGACCGCTTCCTGGATGCGCTGAGCGAGCAGCTGGGCCACCGCATCACCCTGGTGGACGACTTCCTGGCGTCTGAGAACGATTACGAGGAGGTGGGAGGCTTTTCTCCAGCCGAAGGGGCCAGCGTGGAAGGGTCCGCAGGGAGGGGGCTTCTCCCTTGGAGGGCCCTGCCTGAATCCTTCCTTTCTCTGGGATGAAAAACCACCCAAGGCCGAATTCCCAAGAAGGGGTTTTCCCCACTTGTGTCTTATGTCTAAATAAGTACAGATAGGCCTCGACTTACAACCGCCCGTTTAGTGCAGGGGTGTCAAACTCAATTTCATTGAGGGCTCAAACTCAATTTCATTGCGGTTGCCCTCGGGGAGGCTGGAGGTGTGTGGCCAGGGTGAGTGCGGCCGACTGGGTGGGTGTGGATGGAGTAGGTGTGGCCTATTGGGTGGGCATGGCCAGCTCTACATTGTTCGCGTCAAGGGTGCCTGTGGGGGCCTGGGCAGGAGTGGGACAGATCTGAGGGTCTCTGGCAGAAGGGGGTGGGACCGGGGCAAGCGCCAAGGCATGGTGCATTTCTTCATTCCTCACAAAGGGTGACACCTCCCCAGCAGGCACCCAGGGGGCAGGGCCAACGCGGCAGGGGCTGGGTCCTCGCTGTTTCCAGATGGCCTTGTGGAACTAAGACTGAATGGTTTCAGCATAGATGGCCACCACAAAATTGTTCATTGGCTCCCGGCCGGCCTGGGCCACGGCCAAGGCAACGGGGGCCGTTCCCTCACTGTTTCCAGGATGGCTTCGCGGGCTGCATGAAACCACTTCGCGGGCCGCATGTGTTTGACATGTCTGTTTTAGTGACTGTTCGAAGTTACTACGGCATTGAAAAAAGCGACTGACAGTTTTTCATGCTTACGAGCACTGCGGCATTCCCGTGGTTATGTGATCAAAATTCAGCCCCTTGGCAACTGACTCATAGTTATGACGCTTCTAGTGTCCCAAGGTCATGTGATTATCTTTTGTGACCTAACAAGCAGAGTCAATGGGGAAGCCAGATTCACTTAACAGTGGGGTTACTAACATAACTACGGTAGTGATTCACTTAACAACTGTGGCAAGAATGGTCATAAAATGGGGCAAAATTCACTTAATAATGATCTCGCTTAGCAACAAAAACTCAATTGTGGTCATAAGTCGAGGACTACCTGTAATATTACTAAAAAGTAACTGGAACGAGCTACTGGATAGCCTAGACCAGGGGTAGGCAACCTTGGCTCTTTTATGACTCGTGGACTTCAGCTCCCAGAATTCCTCAGCCAGCCACGCTGAGGGGAAAGGGAGAGGTTTCAAGCTGAGCCATGGTGGCTCAGGAATTCTGGGAGTTGAAGTCCATGAGTCATAAAAGAGCCAAGGTTGCCTACCCCTGGTCTAAACCCAACATTGGGTCCTTCAGTGGCATCCTCGGACAGGGGTAGGCAACGTTGGCTCTTTTATGACTTGTGGACTTCAACTCCCAGAATTCCTGAGCCAGCCACGCTGAGGGGAAAGAGAGAGGTTTCCAAGCTGAGCCAAGCTGGCTCAGGAATTCTGGGAGTTGAAGTCCACGAGTCATAAAAGAGCCAAGGTTGCCTACCCCTGGCCTAGAATCCTAGGGTTGGAAGGGACCTTGGAGGTCTTCCAGTCCAGCCCGCTGCCTACTATCTCCGAGACCGCCTTCTGCCACAGATTCCCTCTCACAGACCGGTACGCTCCCACAGAGCGGGCCTCCTCAGGGTGCCGTCGGCCAAGCAGTGTCGGCTGGCGACCCCCAGGGGGAGGGCCTTCTCTGTGGGTGCCCCCACCCTCTGGAACGAACTACCCCCCGAGATCCGGACGATTCCGGACCTCCTATCTTTTC